GAAATCTGTTTAAAAGAGACAACCCGAACTCTGACCTGACATGTTGATTCTCCACCACGACAATGCTCCTGCACATGATGTGTTAAGGGTTTGCAAGTTCCAGGCCCAGAAATCTATACTTGGTCAACCACCTTATTTCCGAGACTTAGCACCCTGTCACTTTGGCTGTTTCAAAAATTAAAAAATGCCTTAAATGGGAACATAATTGATGACATTCCGGAAATCCAGTGTGCTGTGACAAAGATACTGTGCTGCGTTTCGGAAAACGAATTCCAGGAATGTTTCTGGCAGTGGCACAGTCCTCTAGAAAGGTGCAGCACTTCACAAGGGGATTACTTTGAAGGTGACAACAGCCGCCAGTGTATAGGTAAGCAAACAGTTTTTTAAAGTCCATTCTGGGAATTCTATTGTCACACACCTCATATATTTTTTGGCTGGAGTTAAGCTTTAGGTTTGCAATCTTCACAATATTCCTGTAGTAGACGCATGTTCCATAATAAACGGGGACAGGGGAATGGGTGTAGTTGCTCTATTAGTAATCAGTAGCGGTAAGAGCATAGTAGTTCCAGTACAAAGCCTAACAAATTGCTGAATTCAGGCTTGTGTGTAAAACATTTACAATGTGAGCAGCTGAAGGTCAAAGACGTGGTGTGTGCAGTGCGCATTCTATTCTGAACTGTGTGATTCTATGAATGCAAATTACTGCAACAGAGAAGATCTAAAATACAGTAAAATATGTACATTTCACACTGTATGAGGCCTATCCTAGTGCTCATAATGGTCATCCACACTATGGTTGTTGTATGAAGTTAGGATGCAAGATAGGTAAAGGTGAAGTCCAAGCAAACTGCTAAACACACACATGAAATACCGATATGGGTATTGTTTTACCTGCCAAAGGATTTGTGTTTCTGTCTACCCAGTCCTGAGATTTATGCAGCTATGCCACACATGCCAGCCCTGTCTGGAAGGGTAAAAGCCTTGATTTGTATTTCTTGCAATCAAGTAACCCTTAAATGTCTTGTCCCTCATGCGTATAAATCTACCTTTCTTTGAAGCATGATCCGGGTTCATATCGAGCTTCAAAGACTACTGACAGGAGGTGAGGAAGTGATGTGATGCCCACTCATTGCCTTTTCTAACCCAATTTTTCCTGGCAAATTGCTGCAACCATGTGCATTGTGACTGCAGGGCATTTGTGGTGCTTCCCTGTTTGCCTGAATGTGTCGTATTCGATGGGCTTGCTACCTGCCAATCACTACATGACAGACAAAAAAATCAATGAGACAAAGTGATGTAACTTCTTCCTCTAGGGCTCATTCACGCTACATTCCTTGATCTGCAAAGATCGACAAAGGCTTAACGCCACAATGGCTCATAGAAAACAATTGTTTTCTATATGCCCTGTTCACACCTTGTGCCCATATCACCATGTACTGTGTTTCATAGCCACTTTAAGACCAGGTTTTTTCTGACACTTTTTGTTTACATGTTAAAATCAGTAATTTTTGTTAGAAAATTACTTAGAATCTATTTACTTGGTGTAACACCATTTTTTATATTTTTTACCAAAAAATAAGTATTATATAGTTTGTGTGCACTAAAACTCATTAAAGTGTATTTTTACCATAAAATGTGTGTTTAAAAAGAATGCTGTGCATGTGACATAAACAATTGCAACACCCACCATTTTATTTCTTAGGGCCGCTGCTTAAAAAAAAAAAATTGTATATATATATATATATATATATATATATATATATATATATATACAGTTGTGTTCAAAATAATAGCAGTGTGTTGAAAAAAGTGAATAAAGCTCAAAATCCTTCTAATACCTTTTATTTCCATACACACAAATGCATTGGGAACACTACACATTCTATTCCAAATCAAAACATGGAGAAAAATATATCAAATTTGTGTTGTTCCTCTAAAAAAATGAGGAAAAGTGAATATTAGACTGTTCAAAAAAATAGCAGTGTTTGTATTCTTCGTTACAAACTCAAACATTCACTATATAAACTGAAAAATGTTTGAAGATTTTGCTTTCCTTTGAATTACTTAATTAATATTTAGTTGTATAAGCACTGTTTCTGAGAACTGCTGTACATCTGTGTTGCATGGAGTCAACCAACTTCTGGCACCTGTGAACAGGTATTCCAGCCCAGGATGATTGGACTACATTCCACAGTTCTTCTCTATTTCTTGGTTTTGCCTCAGAAACTGCATTTTTGATGTCACCCCACAAGTTTTCTATTGGATTAAGATCCGGGGATTGGGCTGGCCACTCCATAACGTCAATCTTGTTGGTCTGGAACCAAGATGTTGCACGTTTCTGGTGTGTTTGGGGTCGTTGTCTTGTTGGAACACCCATTTCAAGGGCATTTCCTCTTCAGAATAAGGCAGCATGACCTCTTCAAAGTATTCTGATGTATTCAAACTGATCCATGATCCCTGGTATGTGATAAATAGGCCCAACACCGTAGTATGAGAAACATCCCCATATCATGATGCTTGCGCAACCATGCTTCACTGTCTTCACAGTGTACTGTGGCTTGAATTCAGTGTTTGGGGGTCGTCTGACAAACTGTCTCCGGCCACTAGACCCAAAAAGAACAATCTTACTTTCATCAGTCCACAAAATGTTGCGCCATTTCTCTTTAGGCCAGTCAATGTGCTCTTTGGCAAATTGTAACCTCTTCAGCACATTTTTTTCAACAGTGGGACTTTGCGGGGGCTTCTTGCAGATAGCTTGGCTTCACATAGGCATCTTCTAATTGTAACAGTACTCACAGGTAACTTTAGACCTTCTTTGATCTTCCTGGAGCTGATTGTTGGCTGAGTCCTTGCCATTTTGGCTATTCTTCTATCCATTCGAATGGTAGCTTTTCGCTTTCTTCCACGTCTTTCAGGTTTTGGTTGCCATTTTAAAGCATTTGCGATCATTTTAGCTGAGCAGCCTATCATTTTCTGCACTTCTTTGTATGTTTTCTCCCCTCTCCAATCAACTTTTTAATCAAGGTACGCTGTTCTTCTGAACAATGTCTGGAACGACCCATTTTCCTCAGAATTTCAGAGAGAAATGCACTGTAATCAGCATGTACAACATTTGCTGCCTTCCTTCCTTAAATAAGGGCAATAATTGCCACCTGTTTTTCAAAGAATGAATGACCTCACTAATAGAACTCCACACTGCTATCATTTTGAACATGCCCCTTTCAATTAGTGATTCAATTACACAGAATCAGCAGCATGCATGTCATGACTGTTGGGTCTGTTGGATTTCTATTACTTTACTACTACTAAATTATTTGCCATGTAGACATGCATTGCTACCAAAAGTAGTGATTGATCAGGTTAGTGATGTCTGACTATTATTTTGAACACAACTATATATGTTTGTAGGTTCTACGTAATTTTTACATTAGGAGAGAAATGTCAGAATTGACCCCTGCAGGGAAGTATTTAAAACTGCACACGCTCGTGGTCTGACGCCAAACTACAGTATGTAAAAATATCCATAGGCGACAGATTAAAAGCCTGTACAGATTACCATTTTAGAATTGTACAGGGGGTCTGGTGCTAGAATTATTGCTCTAGCTCTGACATTAAACGGCAATACCTGTATGGCGTGATCACTGTTTATGTCTGTGTGTGGGGCCTGCTAATGCGTTCACCTTTGCACACGAGTATCTGGGGGGGGGGGGGGTTCAGGGGGGCTTTAAAAAACAATTTTTTTATTTTATTATTTATTTGATTTTTTTTTTTTTTTTTACACTGTCTCTTTACATTTTTTAGCACACAGTCGGTGTGATCAGATGCTTTACAAATATAAAAATGTCACTATTTATATGCAGTGAAACCTGAAGCTACAAAATACTCGTCGCATTTCGGTTTCATATACTACAGAGATGATCGGGGAGAAAAGCTGATTGCCTTCTGAATAAGAAAATACCGGGGTGATGCCTGTAGCTGCAGGCATCATTCCAGTATACCGCTGGAAACTGCCGACGTACATGTACGTTAGGTGGTCTTCAAGTGAATGCTCATAAAAAACAATTGCCCTGTTCACACCATAATGTTGCACTGAAGTGAGATGCATAGCTCCATTATATGCAGCACAACTCACTGCTTCGCATATCACTGCACTGCATCGTGTCACATGTGCTGTGGTTCATAGAGTTAAATGAAGAGTCATTTTGTGACATTTCAATAAAGTTAAAAAAAAGAAACAGTAAATAAACAGTGCAATGCGTTATAACAGTGCATTGCAAAGCCCCTACACAACGTTCACCAGTATGCACATGTTTTAGCGTGTATACTGGTGTCTACGGGTCCTTGCTCTACATTTGTCTCTCTAATCTATCACTATATCATTGTTACTATCTCTCACTGTTTTCAGAACCAAATTTCATAACAGTGCATGGAGCAGTGTGACTTCAGTCCTGTCCAACTTACTCTCTTCTCATTTGTTAGCAGATGCACCCATATGGAAGAAAAATATATTTGAAATATATTTTTAAAAATATTCTTCCCAAATATGTTGCCATATATTTGAAATACTACAATTTTGGCCATATTCAATATATTTCAATATATACTTCAATATATATATTCCTAGATTGTAAGCTCCGACGATCAAGCCCTCCTTTCCCTCTTGTATTGAACTGTATTGTTGCTGTATTGTCTCCCATTATATTGTAAAGCGCTGAGCAAACTGTTGGCGCTATATAAATCCTGTATAATTATATATATATAAAAAATATATATATATATCTACTGCATGTTGAAATATGTTTTTATTACAAAATATAAGAAAAGTATTTAGAAAAATACATTTCAAATATACTGTATGTCTTTAACCGCCTCCCGCCCGCCATATAATGAAATGACGGGTGCAAGGCGGTTCTCTCATTCTGGAAGGATGTCATATGACGTCCTCCTACTCTAACCGCGCGTGCGTGGCTCCGGGAGCGCGCAGCACAGTGATAGGTGGTGCGCTGTATCCCTCGGACACAGCGGATCACCGATAAACGGAAAGAGCCGAAGACGTCAGCTCTGTCATGTGATCTGCTGTGTCCAATCACAGCTGATTGCATGTAAATAAGGAAATGCCGGTTATCAGCATTTCTCTCCTCCTCACGAGCTGTACTGCAGCTCATGAGGAGAGGAGAGCCGGTAATCGGCATTCCTCAGAGGGGACATGTACACTGATCATCAGGGCACTCAGGGCACTGATGATCAGTGTAGCCCGAGGAGAGCCACCTGTCAGTGTTCATCAATGCCACCTGTCAGTGCCCATCAATGCCACCTGCCAGTGCCCATCAGTGCACATCAATGCCACATATCAGTGCTCATATGAACTGCCTTTCAGTTCCACCTGTCAGTGCCAGTCAGTGCTACCTATCAATGCCAGTCAGTGCCGCCTATCAGTTCTGCCAATCATTGCTGCCAATCAGTGCTGCCTATCAGTGCCAGTCAGTGCCACCTATCAGTGCCAGTCAGTGTCGCCTGTCAGTGCTGCCTATCAATGCCGCCTAACAGTGCCAGTCAGTGCCACCTATCAGTGCCAGTCAGTACCGCCTATCAGTGCCACCTATCATTGCCGCCTATCAGTGCCATATATGAGTGCTGCCTTTCAGTGCCCATCAGTGATGCCTGTCAATGCCCATCAGTGCCACCTACCAGTTCCTCCTCATCAGTGCCCATCAGTGCCGCTTATCAGTGCAGCCTATCATTGCCCATCACTGTAGCCTCATTAGCGTACATCAGTGAAGAAGAAAAATCACTTATTTACAACATTTTATAACAGAAACTAAGAAAAAAACTTTTTTTTTCTAAATTTTCAGTTGTTTTTGGTTTGTTTAGCAAAAAATAAAAAACCCAGAGATGATTAAATACTACCAAAAGAAAGCTTATCTGTCTCAAAAAAAATTATAAAAATTTCATATGGGTACAGTGTTGCATGACCGCACAATTGTCATTCAAAGTGTGACAGCACTGAAAGCTGAAAATTGGCCTGGGCAGGAAGGGGGTATAAGTGCCCTGTAGAAATGTGGTTAAAAATACAAATCTACATTTTTGGAATGCATTTACAAATATATGTAAAAATATATGTTAAAATGACTTTGTTTCATGTTAAAAAAAATCTGAAGTATATATTTAAAAAATATATTCTTCAGATTTATTTAACATATAAAAAAGTAATTTTAACATATATTTTTACATATATTTGTAAAAAACATTTTTAAAAATACATTTCAAATATACTGGATGTCTTTAAAAACACAAATCTACATTTTTGGAATGCATTTACAAATATATGTAAAAATATATGTTAACATTACTTTTTTATATGTTAAATAAATCTGAACAATATATTTTTAAAATATATATTTTTTAAATATATTCTTCAGATTTGTTTTAACATATAAAAAAGTAAGTCATTTTAACATATATTTTTACATATATTGTAAATGCATTCCAAAAATGTAGATTTGTGTTTTTAAAGACATCCAGTATATTTGAAATGTATTTTTAAAAATGTTTTTTCATATATTTTGTAATATATATATATATATATTTGAAATATATTTTGAAATATATTGAATATGGCCAAAATTGTAGTATTTCAAATATATGGCAATATATTTGGGAAGAATATTTTAAACATATATTTCAAACATATTTTTCTTCCATGTGGACAATTTTTAAAACAGAAAAGCAGCGAGAGAGGGAGCATTAGGTTGGGATAGAATTGCCCTATAAATTCTGAAGGACCCTCTGCACACTGGTATATACCCTTTCAAGCAGTTTGTTTGTTGTATTGTTGGGTCAGTAGCCAGACCTGAACCTTGTAGCTCTCCCCATTGTGTCTTTTCCCCTATGCTAGCATTGTGTCCACAGTAGCATTTGCGTAGGCAAGGCAGAGTAGGACTGGCCATAGAGGGATTACTTTGACGCAGTTGGCCAGCTTAAGCATGTATTGCAATATGTGTGAACCAAATATCCCTATTTATTGCATAGTCTGCTGGAAAGGGTATATACCAGTGTGCAGAGGGTCCTTCAGAATTTCTAGTGTTAATATGTGGTTACACCCCTTTAGCACCTGATGGATAAATGCATGTACTAGCTGTTGGGTTTTGAGCACAGGGATCTCTTGTTTGTAGAATTGCCCTATAACACACCTGGGTCACAATATAACACACAAAGTAAGAACATCCTGTGAGGAAGCGATTGAGTCACTTCCCTCAAATGGCACCACTGCTTCCTTTCCATCTCCTCTAAAGCTGGTGAACAAATTAGGCAACAAGGTATATGGATGAAATGAAAAAATGGATAATGCAAACGTAACACAAATTGGTAAGCAAATTTATATCTTGAAATATCAGAATGTTTGTGTTAAAAAAAGATAGCTTTGCTTAAATATGTAATTACTTATGTTTTTCAAAAGGACAATATAAATTTTTTCCAGCTAATACTTTCCACAACCCTGTACACAATGTCAAGTCAAGCTTTGAAGGGCTTTACAAAGATATGAAAGGATATTACCAATGACACTTCTCATAACCTTGACATGTCGAATGACTTTTTAGTTGAATTCATGTTTATTTACAGATGATGAAGTTTGATATGGGAAGGGATTTAGTATTAGCAGAAGACAGAAGAACTTAGGGTCAGGTAGCTGCTACTAAAAATAACATTTGGGATGCATCAGAACACAGGCTTCTATAGAATCCCCTTATACAGGGTGGTAATAGGTGCATGGAATTTGCAGATCAAAAAATCCATAAAGTATGCTCAGAACGCGTCGCACTTCTATGATGTTAGACGCCGACGCCACCGCTCTGAACTTCACAGTGGGTTACTACAGCGAATCAACCCGGCGCTTTCCTTCCTCTTTAGCGCTCCCTACCGTCCCACTTTGACACACTATATTGCAGTTTACCAGCTTGGCGATGAGGAGGACTGTACATCCTTTTATCATGAGCCTGTTTATAACTATGAACATGTGAATTGCCTGCTTACATTTTAACCGTTAAACTTGTATTACAGTCTACACTCAGAGGTGCTGTGTTTTTTCCTGTTTCAATAGAATCCCCACGTTTCCATCATGTAAACCTAGACAAAGCATGTTATAGGACTGCTGAAAAAAAGATTCATCGGTGGGCAACTTTGGTTACTAAAGCATAATAGACACTTGGGGGAGATTTACTAAAACTGAAAACTGGTGTAGTTGTGCATGGCAGCCAATCAGTTTCTAACTTCAGCTTGTTCAGTTAAGCTTTGACAATAAACCCTCAAAGCTGATTGGTTTCAATCCCCCCAAGAGTTTGCTGTGCAACACTAAGTGCCGGTTCACATATATGCGGATTGTAAAAAGTATGCAGCGCTGGTAAACTTAAAACAAGCAATCATCTAAACCAAAGTGCTGAATCCCAGTGAAGTGGGATGTGTAAAGTGACAAGTGTAATAAAGTCAGTAAACTTGTGATGAAGAATATCCGTGACTCCTGTGATAGTGGAAATGGATATATATTGCACTAACCAGATAGCACAATCACTTGCGCATGGAGTATATAAGACCTACTCTTAGTTTTCTGGACCTGGAACACTTTTTTTTGTCCCTTTGAAAAAGTGTCCGAACACAAAACGCGTTAAGGAGGTGCCCCAATCACTGTGTACACACCGCATGGCCTTTATGGATGGCCAGCGGCCATCTTAGAATTCTATGTAAGTCTGATTCACCCTTTTTATGCTGTTTTTGACTAATAAAGAAATATTACACCCATTGGAGGCTTTCTCTTGGGCTGTTTTTCCTTGTAAGCCCCGTCTTTTTGAAGGTGACACCTGCTGACCTGTGGCTTGGTATTGTACATGTCCAGTACACTGGTGGTGCGGATTCAGTGCAGTTTGAAAAAGAGTCCTGTACGATTTCTAAGCAGAACAGTTAGGTGCAGGTGTGGATTACAGGCTATTGACTTCTGAGGGAACCGTTTATAAATCGCATATGTGTGAACAGGATAATCCGCTCCTGGACCTGATGTAAACCTGACATGAACTGGTGAACAACTACTGTGTCAATTAGCTGTAAAAGCAGAGCTTCAATCTGCACTGCACATGTGTGAATCCGATCTAAATCCTACAAAAACGTGTTGTCTAAGCTCAGTGGACTTTTTAGAAAGGTGGCACTCACAATACAGAGTTTTCCCCCCTTGCAAGATCAAAGACCTTTATAGCAAGAAAGTTAATGTTCTTCCAAGGTGAGTCAGGGAAAAGCATTTGGCATTAAGCTGACCTTTTTGCTTTCCACTGGCATTAGAAAATAATTCTAATGCTGATGGCATATTCAGTAAGGGCCAATGGCAGTACAATCACTATAGAATAAATTAACATGAATTAATTTTATTCTCAAAGTTATAACCACCAGCTACCATTATATCAGTGTTTCGTGTCCACAGTAAATGCTACTTTTTTTCCAATGTACAGGTACCCCCCTGTTCCAATAAAGTAGAACTAAAGGTTAAACTTTGTAAATTTTGGACAGAATAAGGGAGGGTTATAACCCCTTTTGGGTTTTGTGGGGAGGGGGGGGGTTGCCTTCTGTGTCCTATTGGGGAGATTTCCCTGCACTTCTGTTTCATAGCCAAACAGGAAATGAGAGGAAATACCACTAAAGTGAGGGAATCCCTGGTTGTCACCAGAACCAGTGTCCGCATTGGAAAATTTCCACCCTATTATTGTTCTGGGGACAGCCCACAATTTGGGATATTCTTTTCCTTGCACTTTCGGTGATATCGGTAAATAGTACAAAATAGAGAGGGTGAATCTCCCTAACGATGGCACAGATGGCAATAAGAACCTGACAGGTGTTCTAATCCCTCTACACTTTATCCAAAATGAAAAAAAAGTTTTGCCTGTAATTATTCTTTAAAGTTATCAGATTTACCACCTTCTTGTATTGCTGTAGCCTTGTTTTCTTCAGAAGCTCATCCACAAGTTCATACACCAAGTGTGCATCACCATCACTCCCAGTCCAAGATGGCCAACCCTCTCTTTTCACTAAGCCAACTTTAAATTAGGACTTTGTCTTTTTCAAAACGACCTACAGAACCAAACAGATGAGTCTGGACTGGTTGTTAACTGTATAGTCTTACTAATGCTTACATACTGGTAGATAGTATGGCTATTTTTCCATGGGCCATACTTCATAAACCTCTGAGCATTTCCAACAATAAAAATATGGTACTGGTGTGATGCCTTCGGAAACACACCAGTTTATAACTAAATAAAAGAAATAGGTGTACAACATGGCTGACATCATTGTATGCCGTACTGATGACTGTTGAGATCCACATAAACGAATACACTGCAGGTGATATTTTAAACATTTTACTCTTCAAGTCAGGAATCATAGCATCTGGAGAAAAAAAAGAGACAAGATCCGTACCTGCTTTCAGCTGATCTAAAATTTT